ATGATATCCCCTGATTGGTTTTTCATTTATTCAAGGTTTTCCCTAAATTTGCCGCAAATGAATAAAAGAAAACCTACTTGCTCGAATTTATCCATGATTTTTTCTGTTTTTGTTTTTATGTTCTTCCTTGATTTTTTCATGATTTTCCTTGATTTCCTCAAGATTTCTCCTAATTTTGAACAAATGAACCAAAAAAAACCTACTCGCTCAATAATTTCCTCTGCGTTTTACCCCTCGGTTTCACCATTTTTTACCTTCTTGGCAATGTTCATCAAATTCTCCGCCATCCCCTTCCCCGTTTGTTGCACCAATCCGTGAAACACACCATCTGTTTTCTGCAAAAGTGTCCATGGATCGTCAAACTCGACCGCTCGTCCCCCACTCATGACCAGAATCTTGTCCGAATCCATGACAGTATGAAGTCTATGTGCGATGGTCAAAACAGTACAATCCTTGAATTTCCTCCTGATGGTGTTTTGGATAAGCTCGTCGGTTTGTGGGTCCACATTCGCCGTGGCTTCATCAAGCACCAAAATCACGTTATTTCGAAGAACAGCTCTCGCGAGACAAAGCAACTGTCTTTGCCCAACACTGAAATTCGAACCACCTTCCGAGACATTACTCGACAAGCCTGTGGGTAATTCCGCCACCAGGGCCTTCAATTTGACCTCCTCCAAAGCGTTCCAAAGCTCCTCGTCTTGGTATTCATCAAACGGGTCCAAATTCTTGCGCAGCGTCCCCGAGAAAAGGATCGGCTCTTGCGGGATGATCGAAATGTGGGATCTCAAGCAATGCAAAGAGATTTCGTTAATATCAACCCCGTCAACGATTATATTGCCTTCGATGGGCACTAGACGGAAAAGCGCGGAAATCAGCGACGATTTTCCCGCACCGGTGCGTCCCACAATCCCGATTTTCTCCCTCGAGTTGACCATAAAAGTCAGATTTTTCAAAACGAAGGGATCATCAGGAGAGTATTGCATGAACACTGATTGAAACTCGATTTTACCACTGGTAGGCCACGATTTTGACACTTCTTTGTGATTTTCGTCCGATTCTTCCTCCAATTCCGTGTATTCAATAACTCTTTCAACTGAAGTCATTTGGTTTTCTAACTCGCTCCACTGTCTCATCCCCCATTGCAACATCCCGGTTAAGGTAATCGATTGGGTTATAGCCAACCCAACATTACCACCATATGACTCTGCAATTTATTGGTTAATTTAAGGAAGAACTTGGGATTTAGGTGGTTACCAGCACCGAGGAAGAGGAAACTTAAAATTACAAGACTAATGTAGAGAATGCAATTAACGTCTAACCAAAACGCAAACGTACGACTTGTGGCGATAAACATGTGATAAGTGGAACTGTGAAGATCTTGATGATTGTCAAATTCCAATCGTAGGGTTTCTTGGGCGTTGAAAGCTCGAATTGTTGATAGGCCTTGTAGTGATTGGGACAAATGTGAAAAAACCGGACTTCGAGCTGAAATTTTTTCATGTCTAATTGTCTAAAACTCTATTAGTCCGGAATAAAAATAGTGGTCAAATAACGAAAATCCCGACAGAGCTAAATTTTGGTGGAGACCTTAGATACACCATTAGAAATAAAGTGTCAAATGTCCGCATCGATTCCATGTGTGCTAAAAAAGTTATTCGGGGTCACAGGTCAAAATTTGAGGTTTTTTAGATTTTTCTCAAAAGTAGCCCAGACAAAAATTATCGATCTTAAAATTATCTACAAAAATGGTCTTAATACTTTTTTTTCTAAGAATATCCTGAGATATCGCGATTCTAAAAGTTGAGGGAGTAACGTTCTACATCATTAAGGCTCGGATTATATGCACGAAAAAATTGTAAAATATGCGCATATATATGCACGTATTTTAACAAAAATATAATATGCTCCAATATATGTCAAATATGCATCGATATGCAAAATTTTGAACAATAAAAAGCAAACGTATTTATTTTTTGGAAAAACTAATTGATGAATTATAAAGTTCTATAAAAATGTGATGTTTTATCAAAAATAAAATTTTTCAAAATTTTTGTTATTTTGTTTTTGAGTTTTACAAAAATATTATTTTTTTTTTAAATGGAAACCCACCAAAAAAAGATTTTTTTCATGAAGGTTATGATCTAAGGGATTACAACTATCTACTTTGTATTAAATTATTTTTTTACATAGGTATATCGCAATTTAGTCAGCAAAAATCGAATAACTCAAAAACAAAACAAAATTTTGTTCTTAAAATCAGATCATTTTTTATATTACTTTAATTCATATTAATTATTATTTTTTGGAAACAAATGGGTTACTAATTTACAGGGTACTAATTTTTTGAGTTTGGCTTACAAATTACCGGTTGTTTTCTCTTTAAAATATTTTGTAATCGGATCATTTTTCATAAACTGTCCAATTTTTAACTTGAACTGAAATTTTTAATCGGAAATTAGTGAAGAAAATATGCACAAATATGCAATATTTCCTAAAATATGCATCAAGTTGCCAAAATATGCATTTTTTATTTGGCTTATTTTAATAAAAAACATTAGATATGCATAGAAAAATTACAGTGTTGTTGATATACCTCTTAATAACAAATATGCATTTTGCATATAATGCGAGCCTTATACATCATCATACAGAGTGCGCCAGAACTCGCGCCCCAAAGATAAATGCCATGTAGGGTAAGGTACCAGAAACAGAGAATAAATTTAAAAAATTCTAAATTCTATCTATAAAAATTTTGTCGTTATAAGAGTTTAAATTTTGCACTTTCACTCTATTTACATCTGTTGGAAAAACAATTTTCCAAGTTTTTTTGCTACATGCTATTAGAACCGGAAACATGGAAGCTGTATCCTAAACTCTGTTTAATGTTATTTGTAGCTTTTGTTGACAAAATTTTTGTACCTTGTCAAAAAGTAAATGTCAAAATTTTTTTAAACATTTTTTCAGTACTCTGGGGACTACCCAATTACTCCCTTTCAAGGAAGTGCGCGATTTTTTGAACACCCTGCATGCATTACCAAATAAATTCTTTTTAATTCTAATGGAATCGACATATTTATAAGTTTAATGAAGTAGAATAAAAGTTTCAAGTAAGGAACATGGAAAAAAAGTTTAAAAAATTGTATCTGTGAAAAAATTTTGACATTTATTCTTTGACATTTGACATTTTTTATGTCTATTTAATGATACTGTATACCAGGTGAATAAAAAGTTTGGAACCAAACTATTAATTTTTTGGAAAAACTAATTGATGAACGATAAAGTACTTTAAAGATGTGATGTTTTTTCAAGAATAAAATTTTTCGAAATTTTCTTTTGTTTTTGAGTTCTACAAAAAATTTAATTTTTTTAAATAGTAACCCAGTATAAAACTATTTTTCTCATAAAGGTTATGATCTAAGGATTACAACTATCTACTTCATTTTTAATTTTTTCAAAAAAAATGTTTTTCATAAATTGCAATTTTCACTAAAAAAAATCGCATAACTCAAAAACAAGACAAAAATTCGTTCTCAAAATACGATCTCATTTTTTATATTACGTTAATTTTTATTAATTATTATTTTCTGAAGACAAATGATTTTAAAAAAAACGCTTGGTTCCATACTGTATGTTTTTTTACAATTATTTAGTAAAAGTACAAAACTTTTGGCAATAAAAGCCACTAAACAGAGTTACAGTTTAGGATACAGCTTCCTTGTTTCCGCTTCTAATAGTCTGTAGCAAAAAAAACTTGGAAAATTATTTTTCCAATAGGAATAAATAAAGTCAAAATGCAAAATTTAAACTCTCATAACTTTGAAATCGCGATATCTCAGGAACGGTGATTCTTAGAAAAAAAATTATAAGGACCATTTATGTAGATAATTTTAAGATCTATAATTTTTGGGGCCACTTTTTTGATAAAACTTATCGTTTTCAAAAAAACCTAAAAAACATCAAATTTTGACCTTTGATACCGAATAACTTTTTTAGCACACATGGGATCGATGGGGACTTTTGACACTTTATTCCTAATGGTGTACCCAAGATCTCCACCAAAATTTAGCTCTGTCGGAATTTTAGTTATTTAAAATGTCTATTTTGACCGGACTATATCCCACTTACTTGTCCCTTCCATTCGTTTCAAATTTCTGCTAGTAGCCAAAAAAATCACCTTAAACAAGTAAAACACCACAAAAATGACAGCAGTCGGGATGATAATCCACGGATTGATCGAAGACAAGACAATTGTGATTGACAACACGTTCAAACCGACCTAAAACACACCAAAAACTGGTAAAAATACCAAATTAGGCTCACATACCTGTAAAGTGTCGGTGATTGATTGAGGAAGCGTTTCATCAATCGACCCCATATCCTTGGAAAACCTGTTTAGGATCCTCCCCGAGGGATTCGTGTTGAAAAACCTCATCGTGGCATGCACAACACCCAAAAACATATTATTGTGCAAATTCCTCGACGCCCTCATGCACACTTTGAAAAAACTTAAAGATCGTGTTATAGTTGCAACTATAAGAAAAACTATAAACGAAGAATGAATATAAATGCAGTTATTGGGTGTAAGAAACGAGGAAACCTCAGTTGTGACATTGCTCAATCTGTCTTGCTCCAAATTGACCCAAAACGTGACAAAAACATCAGTCCCACTCGCGGCCATTTGAGTGAAAACAAACAAAAGTAGAATGCACAAAGACAAGCAATAATTTCCTGCAGCTTTCAAGTAACAGAAGTAGATTCGTTTTGATAAAGTACCAACACTGCGGTGCTCTTTAATCTCGCTTGGTTTCTCCTTATCTAGACTTTTGAACGATTTGAGTTTTTGCTCTGGTTCAGCTTTCTTCTCTTGCTTCTCCTCATCAGTGACTAGCTTCTCCAACAACTTGACAAACTCACTCTCGGAATTTTGCAATTCGGTGTAGGTACCACTCACGGTAACAGTACCATTTTCAAGCAAGTAAATCTTGTCAACATTTCGAAGATACTGCAACTGGTGCGTGACCAAAATCGTGCATTTCTCCCTCAAAAACCCCGAAATGCACTCATCGAAGAGTTTCTTCCCCACGTGAGTGTCCACCGCCGAAAGTGGATCATCTAGGAGGTAAATATCGGCGTCTTTGTACACAGCTCGGGCTAGATTAATCCGCGCTTTCTGCCCCCCACTCAACATCACTCCTCGTTCCCCCACAATCGTGTGGTCCCCATACGGCAACATGGAGAAGTCCCGCTCCAAAGCGCACACTTTCACCACTTGTTGGTACTTCTCCCGGTCCATTTCCTCCCCGAAGAGGATATTCTGGCGGATACTCGCGGCGAAAAGCCAGGGTTCTTGCGCCGCGTACGAAATGCGACCACTTATCTCCAAGTCTCCCCGAGACAAGGAGATTTCTTTGAGGATGACGTGCAAAAGGGTGGTTTTCCCGCTACCAACAGGCCCCACAATACCCACGAGTTGGTGGGGGCCGACTCCGAAGTTGATTTCACTGAGGGTGAAATCGGGAGAGTTTGGGGACCATTTAACACAGACTTCGTCCATGTAAACCCCGATGGGTTTTTCCGGATTTGGGACACTCTCCTCGGGTTTGATCTCGTCGTATGACAGGAATTTTTGGATTCGTTTCACGGAAACGTTCGTTTCGGCCAGGAGGGTGATCCCTCGAGGCAAAAACATGGTCAAGGATTGGCGCAAAATGCCGTAGTAGGAGGTAACCACGTACACATACCCAGCACTTAGAGTGTTACCGGTCAAAACGTAGGTTAAAACACAGAGGTAAATCGAAGTCCGGTTGAGGAAAATTATAAATGAAACGTTGATTGCTTTGAGGTAGGAGCTAGCCCGGATTTGGTGGATTTCCAGTCTAAAACCAAAGAATTAAATTGCGTTAGGGGTCACAAAATCGTTACTTTCGGGCCAATTCGATCAGTTTTGCAAACGGTTTTTCCCAGGTGTACATTTTGATGACTTGAATTCCGGTGATAATCTCATTCATTAGTCTCACTCTTTGGTCGGTTTTTATCGCAGTTCGGTACCGGTAGACAGACGTGCGTTTGCCCAAATATACTAAAACATTTTTTTTAAGTTATTGAACTTTTAACAAACTTCTACAGTCTTAAAGTTTTTACTTTTTTCTTTACAGTAGTAAAAATTGGAGCCTTTTTAGTTTTGTGTAATAAATTTTACAAAAAAGTATGTTTTCTCAAAAAGAAAACAACTAAGCAAAATCGACCAATAAAAGTTTACCTTAAAAATATTGTAATAAAAAGCTACGTCCAAAAATGCTAAGAAACATGTGCGAAGCTCCCGTCGATCGAATCAGATAGTGATACTTGGGGGGCGAAGCCCCCGACAATTTCGACATTTTTT